GCTTCAATCAAACGGAGACACATGAAAAGCTGAAACTTGGCAAGAACGTGACCGCTGACGCACTGAGCTCAAATGTCAAACGTAAAATTTCCAAAATATTTTTGGGGTTCATATTTCTTGGGGATGTAACGTTTTCAAATAAGTTTTCATATCCTACAGAATCGGGCAGAAATAGAAAAGTAGCTGCCGCACACATAACGGACGTGATGTTGATTTAAGGAAAAATTCAACATTTGTTGTGCGTCTCCCCATCGCACAGCTTTTGGGTGAATCGCTTTTCCAAATACATTTTTTCCGCCAGCAAAAAGGGGAAACGTATGAGGCTGAAACTCGGTGGCATGGAGTTCCGTGAGCCTACATTTCAAAAGAAAAAACTTTTTCTTTAAAACCCATCAAGGCACATTTCTTCAGTCCCATATTCCCGAAGTTTTTTGATCCAACGAAACAGAGACAGAAAATATAAACTTCCCTCAGAAGTACCTGTTTGATGGCTGAATACAGGAAAAATCCTACTTTTGAAATATGTCTCCTTAGCGTAGGTTATAGGAGGAAAGTATTTCAAAATGTATTCTCCAGGCACACTAGAAATCATAGAAGTAATGATTTTGATGAAGATCAAGACTTTCGACCCCATAAGTCACGTATTTCAATGGGGGCGTACTTTAAATACGTGTTTGCCATTTCGCAAAGAATAAATGAATTAATCACTTGGGCGCCGAAGGCGCGACCATAGCTTGTAAACAATGAGCTCCATACCAAATAAATAAAAAGTGTCTCTTAGCTTATTATCACCTTCAACAGATTCCTTCAACCTTCCTCAAGACTATGTCTCCCACCCTGAATTTATAATAGATTCAGAAAAGAAAACTTCTGAGGTGTCATGTCAGATCGAAGATGAAATAAATGAAAGGTGGGAAATCTTCGAGTCTTCCAGCTCTCAAGATTCAAGTGTGTGGGAATGCAGGTTACATCCAAAGCCCATATCCTCACCCAAATTTCTTTAAAGGAGGCACAAGTCTCCCCTGATTATCCCTTATGTGAGGGGTCTCACGGGATCATAGGCCTCAATGATGTACAAGTGCATAAGATGGGGGTGCCTACAAATGTATTTCAACTTCTTCTGGGATTCATAACCAAGAAGAGGAATATGGGACTTGTAAAAGGCAACTACTTGTTACTTTTCTTGATGATGATGAAGTTTGGACTGCCAATTGTCTCTGCATTAAGTGCTCCTTGCATTATTCAGAAGTTGTGATAATCTATTAGGCTATATCTAAACCTTGGATCAGTAGCGTGCCCAGGAAATCAGAATGGCGGGGGTTGCCACATGAAATGCGGATTACCTAATGGGAGGGGGGTTAACATATGAGAAAACTGATAACCCACCCTGTATTTGGGTCTAAATTAAAAAATTTTTGAGAATCGAACCTATAAAATTGACCAAAAGGGGGGGGGGGTTGTGACCCCCAAACCCCCCCTCCCCCCCCCTTTGGGCACCCCATTGTCCTTGATACAAACCGTTTTCACTTTAATCCTCATGAGAAACTTCATCATATCTAATGTTAATGTTGACTATTTAGCCGACGACATTCAATAGTAGGTTTGATTAGCATATGCTCATCACAGGCGAAGGCCTAGAATGAAAGTAATTGGTACTAACTTGGAACTAGTACTAACTTCGAACCATCGATTACTTACTACATAATCATTCTTTGCCTAAGAAAATCATCCTGACGGAGAAAAGATTCCTTTTCAAGACTAAAACAGTATTTTATGCTTCCGTAAGAAGCACTTTGAAGGTTGTGCGCTTGACTCCCCCCTCCCCTCCCCTCATTTCTGTTATGTGCAACCCGCCGCCAGATGTCTCCGAGTTAATGCTTTCAGCCAATATCTGAATCATAGCCCAAAGGAACCCTCCAAATTCTCTCTCCCGAGGTCAGGGCGACGGGGAATTTTTTTTTTTTCCCCTTAGGAACCGAGTTCGTAGTTCGACGAGACGAAACTACAGACCATGGGTTTACGTCCTGTGGTCCGGGTGGCCCACCAATGGCCAATCTTCTTGCCCACCTTTTCCCCATAGGAATGAAGTAATTTTGGTAACTGGAGAATGTTTCCTGTTGGTTCCCATGGATCACTCTGATCACTTGAGGTGTTTTCCAGCATCTTTACCAAGCTTGGCGCGTTCGCCTGGAACTGGGTTCGGTCCACAGTTCGGTCACGTTCCGCACTCGTATAGATAATAATTTATTTCGTAAGTATGAAGTGTGGGTCTTCCAGCTGTATTTCCTGTAGTTCCTTGCTTCTGAGACGCCTCGTGTAATCAGTTGGAGAGTGTCTATGGCATATGGCTGTAGTCCGTCGGGTGTGCGAGATAATCATGACCGGTATAGCTATATCGCCCCATCATGACACTCGTGTGCAGTCTGTCCCCCATGTACGTACCAAGGTCAGAGATAGAGAAAGAATTTTCAACCAAGTCTCTGATAACACGCCAAATCACCTGGCGCGTTGTGTATACTTTCGAATGCCGGAGCCGTCCATGTTCTTAAATTTCCTGGACTAACAACTCCAAGAAAATCAATTGACAGCTGGCAATTAAAAGGAATTTACGAAGCACGGACTTCCTTACGATTTTGAATGGATCGAAACGTGTCTTGTTGCAGGGCGAGGGAGAGGACGACGATTTAGTATTCAAAGATGCCTTATACGCAGCACCGTACAGGACCTGGGAAATGCGAAGTCCCCAATGGGGATGGCCGTGGGGCCTTCCGAACGACGCCTCGTCGACAACGACCACGACGACCACGGTGCAAAATCGTCGCGGCATTTTCTCGGATGACTTTTTCTCGGATGAGGATCTCGTGGGATCTGGTCAACACGGAGGTTTGGAGGGCAGTGGGGACCCACTCAACATACGGCTGTGGGACTCTGTGACGTTGACGGCGCAAAGTCATCAAGGGATGTATACGGGTTTACGGATAAATTGGGATGACGAAGACGACGAGGACTACGAACTCGTGGGATCTGGTCATCACGGAGGTTTGGAGGGCAGTGGGGACCTACTTAACAGCTTTATTCCAGGTCAGATCCTTACCCTTTTGGGAATCCATACATTTTTCATAGAAATAAATATTATTTTATTTTCATTTCTCGGTGGAGAAAGTTATTACTAACTTGTGTTGAGTGCTGATTAAACCATTTGTAATTGATATTGCCTCGTACGGACTGCATCGATGGCAACAATTGGCTGTAGTATCCCGGGTAAGTCTTGTCATTTCGAAAATTTTCGGTTCCAAGTGCAGCAAAACAACGTTTTCATTTTGTGCCTATTTTGTACTCCCTGGATGGGTGTTTCATTATTGCGTGGTTCTCTTCATGTACGCATTTTTGCATAAGTTTCAGCATCCCTTTTTTTTTAGTCACCTTGTGTGTGATATTTTAATGTAATATTATACAAATAACTGATTAGCATGATTCCTTGGTTTTCATTCCCCCTCTCTTTTGCTTCAGTATGAGTTTTTTAAATTCTCTAGGTGAAATAGAATGTTAGCATCTTGGAGCGGGCAGTCATATGTTGCCCACAGGGCCAAAATGTAAACCCCCATATCTCTCTCCCCATATCCCCCTCACATGGCATGGGAAACTTCGATTTGGCCTAAACGCTATTCTCAGGATCATCCGCCGCATGTCAAATTTAATTAAATTCTGAGTGGGTGGAGAATAGGCCATTACTGCACTTCAGGTGTAATGATCCACCTGTAAACCGTGTAACGGGACAATGCATGGCTAGGAATTGTTCAGAAAAAAAAACCACAATCTTCTCAACACCTCCAATGCGTCCAATATCAAGAGTTTATGAATCATATTTTTTACTGGAATACTCGAATCGTACGTTCTCCCCTTTGAAAAGGGTGGAGTTTTTTTTATCACACTCAGTCACCCGGTCAACAACAGTGCCCTCTAAAGGGATACAGCGCCATCTTGCGGAAATGAAAAAAGCTCATAGACTCATGAACGTCTGTCAAGTATCAGCTGGATCCAACTGTCCCTTGAAAAGTTCATTGAATTCTGAGACGGTCGAGCATAGATCATCATCTCACTTAAGGTGGAATGATACACCTCTACCCAAACAGCATGTTTATGTTAATTTTACGTAAACTGAATGTACATTTTTTGTTCATTTTATATCATTTTTACGCAAACCATAGTCAAGATAATGCCAATATGTTTGCATGTCACCTCTGTGACACGTAAACGGTGATATGAAATAAACGTCAATTTTACGTAAAATTGGCATGCCCGTTTGCATTCCTAACAATAGTTTTACGTAAGATTTATGTTAATTTCCCCCTAGTATTCATGTGTCTTTGACGAGTCAATCAGGACCTTTAAAAAGAATTGATATACTGTATCTCCCATTCCTTTCCATATTTCAGAACTCAAGGGTGGTTGGATGAGTACACGCATCCTCATCAGCACCCAAGAATACCAAAATAACCTATCACTTCCTCCTCCCGTACTGGAACCTTGAGAGAAATAGATGTTCAATAAATTTTTTCTTACTTATAGGAGAGAAGATTTAGTAATTATAGAGTCGGGATTCTACTCTTCCCTAATCTCGTACACTGCTGTAATAAAAAGCTTAACTTCAGCATTTAATGATTCCCTGAGTCATATATTATAAATATATATATATATAATAATTTCATGTTTTCCATATATATATTCATGGATTGCATAATAAAAAGTGGAAGGATGGTAGGAAAATCTAATATTCTATCAGAAAAGCCAGTACTTAATAGTATTTGTCGGATGCAGGGAACAAGGGTTCCATCTAGTGAGGAATCTTGGTACTGCAACTGCGGGAGGGTCAGTTAAAGTTTCATATGGCTGGTGTGGCGTTAATTTTGCATAAATTTGATATCATGTACTTCACGTCAAATGGAGTGACGTCCAGTTTATGTAAAATACAAGTACACTATGGTGACGTAAATATAGGAACGTAAATTTTACGTAAACGTGATGTCATTTTCATGGCAATCGCAAGAAATTTACATTGTTTGCAAAGAATTGCTATCTTGTTTACGTAAACATGCTGCTTGGGTAAGCACCTTTTAATTAACCTCTAAATGGGCATTACAAGACTAAGACAGGGGTGATGAAAAAAAGCTGGTAGGCATTTCAACACCTTCTAACTGTCAAATATGGATCGCGTATCCANGTGCATCGATTTGAGTCTGAGGTGCAATTCGGTCATCAACTGCATCGACGGATCCGACGAACTCGGATGCCGTAAGTTCCAAGTCGATTTTTGCCTTCTCGGTCCGTCGTCGGACTCTCGGCTGAATGCGAGGAACTCGATGATGCAGCGTGTGCGGAGGGGAAGTTCACGTGCGGGAACGGGGCGTGCATCGACGCGGATCGGCGCTGCGACACCGTCGAGGACTGCGAGGACGGGTCCGACGAGGTCGATTGTAAAGTCGGTGAGTTCTGGGTTTTTTGCATGCCGTGTTTTTGGCTCTAGTTTTCGTAACATGCATGCTAACGTTACGGGAAATGTTTGTTAGCGTGTGGGGTGGGTCAGTTCGTGTGCGACGTTAATCGCTGCATCGATGGCGAACGTCGCTGCGACCGCGTCTACGACTGTCAGGACCGGACCGACGAGGACTTCTGCCGTAAGAGCCTCTCTTCCTCTGAGATTCCGTCGAGCCTTAGTCATAAAGTAACCGACTAATCGACTACCATAACTACCCGTGCCACAGCCTGTCGCGAAGACCAATTCACGTGCGGCGACAAGACGCGTATTTCCGTTACCCTCCGATGCGATCAAAAACCGGACTGCCTCGATAACTCCGATGAATTGGGATGTCGTAAGTAAAAAGTACCCATACGGTTACGGCTGGGATGGCTTTCTGTCTGTGAATCGATCGTACCGAACAAGCGATATCGTGTAGCGTGTCGAGAGACGGAGTTCACGTGCAAGGACGGGATGTGCATCGACGAGCGACGACGCTGCGACCGAGTCGCTGATTGTCCCGATGGATCAGATGAATTCGGGTGCCCTGGTATGTTCGTTCTTGCGACGATCTTTGCGACGGTGGTGGAGAATTGGGTCGATCGTTGCGGCACTTGTACCTGAGAACATTTGCTTTGTGCTTCTGTGTAGGTCGTTCTGTGCTTACTTTTGATGATAAGTACGTTTCGGCGTGCTTAGTGCTAGTTCGGTGCTTCAGATTCTCAAAGGAATACGACCCTTAATGGAGTGGTGAAGATCAAGGCGACAGAAAACAGATTTTTAAGCTTATTTATCGACGGACGCGAATGTAGGCTATGAGGGTGGAAATTTTCTTTGGAAAAGCCGTTCAGCATTTCCTTTTATTTCCATGAAGCTGATGAGATACGAGGACTGGGGAAAGTGATGGGCACTTGAGTACTGCGACTATTAATTCCTCGGCCGCGTTCGCGCGAATCGTCGGTGATTCACCAGGAACAACGTAAATTTGCATGGAATTAAAAAATGCGTTTATGCTTCCCAATTACATCGATCGGCAAGAGTGTCACGAAGGCGAGAAAATGATGTCAGAAGCGTGGACCGTCGATACGACCCGTTTTCTGGGAAGTGCGAACTAATCGGAAGATGTAAAAATTGGGAAATCAGTTTGACACTTTCGGGCGCCTCGTCCTATCTCCCGCCCACGCGTTAATGACGTTCACCCCCGCATCGTCGCCGCAGAGGGGTTAGGGCCTCCAGATGGGGATCATTCGTAAGAGAAGCACCTATTGCTGGACTAGGCCTATCGGATCGGTGGTGTCTGTTAGATAGGCGAAGCCAAATTCATCGCCCAGGCGATCGAAGTCCCCGCTCGGTCAAAACTGCGTAATGGACCGAGTAAGAGCTGAAAGTAGAGTGCGTATGGGTAGAAGTACATGTTTCACAAGAGTAGAAGCAGCATCTAAGTTACAACAAAAGGATGGATATAAATGAGCTGTCATACAGAGCGGTCAAGGCTGCTTGGTCAATCGTGCAGCCGCTTGGAAGTAATGTAAACAGGAAAAATTGGGTTTAAGGTAGACAATCGATTGCTTCCTCTTCCCCAACCTCATTAGAACTCGATCGGTGTGCTATTTTTTTCCGCAACGTACTTGTTTCGTATTTAGTGCTTTTGCTCAAGTACAAGTTTTCGCCTACCTCAGGACTTTTTTTGTTACTCATCGGAACACTGATAAACGGGTATGGGTTTGCGATCGGTAAGGGTGCCAAGAAGAGGAATTCACGTGCAACGATGGGACGTGTATCGATGCCAAGGGCCGGTGTGACGCCATTCCGAACTGCCCTGACAGATCCGATGAGGCCGGATGCCGTGAGTCACTGCCAAAAAAAGAATATCTCTCGAGAAAACGTAAAATTCCGAATTAAATGGACTAAATTGGGGGAGCCGCTCTGCAGCGTGCCGAGAGGACGAGTTCACGTGCAGGGATGGGTCGTGCATCGACGTGAGGAGGCGGTGTGACGGGACCAGAGACTGTTCTGACGCGTCGGATGAAGTTGACTGCCGTGAGTAAACGACGAAGGCGTTTTTTCTATCGTATGCTCCGGGAAATTTGCGAACCCACGTCAACGTTTGTGGAAAACAGCTCTGATAGCTTGCCGAGCCAGCGACTTCAGATGCACCGATGGGACGTGCATCGATGCGAGCCTGCGCTGTAATAGGAATCGAGATTGTGTCGATGGGTCGGACGAGGTCGATTGCTGTGAGTTTCATTCGGAAGAAACTCAATAAATTAATCAATTTAGTCGATTAATGAATCTTTCCGACGACGATTTAGATTGTCGCGAGAATGAGTTTACATGCGGCGATGGAACGTGTATTGACGTGCGACGACACTGCGACGGATACCGGGACTGTCGCGACGGGTCGGACGAGATCGGATGCTGTGAGTTCCACGATAAATACGATCGAGTCGAAACGAGTTAT